GGGGGCTCTGGATCCGCCTATGGCCGGCAGCGCGGACCGGAGCCAGGGCCGGTTCACACACGCGATCCCGACGGCGCGCGGCGCGGCGACGAGTGGCTCTCGGCCGGGTTCACACGGACGCGCACCGAGCGGCGCACGATGGCGGCTTCCTGCGGGGCTGCCACATCCACGACCGCGGCTTGGCGGCGCGGTGGAGGGTGGGGAGGGGAGGGGCGAGGCGGTTTCCTGTCTCGCTCTTGGCCGCGGGCGCGGGCATTGCCCTTCCTGCCACTTGGCGGCGTTGCCGTTGCCAACCCCGGCCGCGGCCACCCTCGGGAAGCGCGTCGATTCCCGTTGGAGCTCTCGGGCTCAGGAATTGACGACGACTGACTCAGCCGCTGCCGTCCGTCGTGGCGTCCGTCGGATCGGCAGACGCCAGATCACGATTAATTATCAGAGACGAGAGGAGGCCCACGCGGAGGCGGAGGCCGTCACTAGTGGCTCGAGTGACGTCACGCCGTAGTAAATCGCCTCCGTCGTCGCCGCACGGTGGATCGAGTCAATGGGAGAGGTTCGACTAAATTCGGAAACTTTAAACGCTTATAACTCCGTCAATACAAACTTTGAGGTTCTAAAAGTGGCTCCATTGATTTTCTAGTAAAATTTTCTCCTTCAAGCACCCCTTGAATATAAAATGTGACGAAGTAAACATAAAAAATTGCAGATTTAGTCAAAAATTTCATGTCCGATCTCTCTAATTGTCACGCACAGTGGATCGAGTCAATGGAAGAAGTTGGACATGAAATTGTTGACAAAAATTGTGAAATTTTACGTTCATTTCATCACAATTTTAACTTTAAAGGGTGCTATTGGTAGAAAATTTTACGAAGAAACCAATGGAACCACTCTTAGAACCTCAAAGTTTTGTACAAACGGAGTTATAAGCTTTTAAAGTGTCCAAATTTTGTCCGACCTCTCCTATTGACTCGATCCACCGTGCGCTGTCCCGTCCGCTTCTCGGCCCACCCGAATTGGGGCTCGTAGAACGATGCTCCGAGTTATGGGGCTCTTGTAAACTTCAGCTAGAACAAAAAGCAGGGTGTCGACTGTACGGATAAAGTACGGAAACACGGAACAATTTTTACACCATCGGTTTCAACAACCAGCAGCCTGGTCGTTGAAATTTTGTGTTTGTCGGGTAGACGTAGATGACATAGGTTGAAAGGCGGAGCGTGATTGGTCGACTATGTCTTATCGGTGCTTCGTCGTGCCTATGTCGGGTGGAACTCACGACAAGCTAAAGGCACCCCTTATGTCCTCGTCAGTATGTCGTCCATTCCACCCGACAAAGGCACGACAGAGCAGCGATAAGGGCCTGGTTACACGCTCAAATTTCCGTCAAATTCCGATCAAAATGATGACCAAGATGGCGGTCGATAGTTATCTAGATCGATGAGTAAAATTAATTAAAACAGCGTGTTGATTGAAATAAGCATGAAATCAGCACGGTTGTGTGGAAATCAGATGAAGGATGAGCCCCACAGCTCCATCATCTACCATCAAATTTTTGCAGGCCGCAAAAATTTGATGGTAGATGGTGCGCACCAGTCACCATTTGATCGAAAATTGATGGAAATTTGAGCGTGTAACCAGCACACATAAGACATAGCCGACCAATCACGCTCCGCCTTTTAAACTATGTCATCTATGTCTACCCGACGAACACAAAATTACAACCATGAGGCTTGCAGCCCGCTGGAACCGTCTTAGAAGGGGGCTCTCCCTTTAGTCGAGAAAACTGCCTTTTTCACACTTTCTGCCTTCCTCTCCGGTGAACGGGATTTACAAACGAGGCCCGCGCGCGTTTCCGCTTTCCTTGTAATCTCGGATGAGGACGCATGCTCCAGAAAGCGTCGCGTCTCGAGGATTACATTTTCAGCGGTTGCAGAGATTACCCAGAAGGATTAGGGAAGAAAACGGGGCTCGCAGGGCGACACGGAGCCAGGAAGGGATCACAAACGCGGTTCTGGGCTTCCGCATGAGCCCCAGTAAGCATGGATTCATATGGGAAACAGGGCTCATGTGGGCTTGGAGGTGCGCCCTTACGTCCGAGGGCCGATGATGACTGATGAGTCAGATCCTGCTTCCAGCGATGAGAGATCACCGCCAGCCGGGCGAATTTCGTAATGTGTTACACGCTTTGTAACACCTCGTGTTCAACAAGTCTCGATAGTCTATTCACAGGGACCCGAGCTGGAGGCGCTCAGAAAACTAGAGACTCGTGTATTGACGTTCCTGACTAATAAAGCCAGAAGGCAGGGTTGCCACAGACAGGGAATACCGGAAAAACCGGGTAATGTCAGGGAAAACCGGGAAATGTCAGGGAAAATGACGAAAATGTCAAGATCGATCTGTTAAATCACCTTCATTTGCAGGGTTGAAACAATTAGGGAAAACCGGGAAATGTCAGGGATTTTAAAAAGTCAAGGAAAACTGGGAATGTCAGGGAAAATGACGAAAATGTCAGGGAAAATTTGTTAAATCACATTCATTTGCTTTCTAGAATAGGTTTGAGGTTTCGAACAACAAATTTCTCCTGAAAACTTTTTTTCAATTATGCCTTCTTAACCATCCGTCACATCTTCAGTTGTCAGGGAATTTTGCCAAAATATGTCAGGGAAAACCGGAAAATGTCAGGAAAAATGACGAAAATGTCAGGGAAATATTGTTGAGTCACCGTCATTTGCTTTCTAGGCTAGGTTTGCCGTTTCAAACAATAGATTGAGCGTGAAAACTATTTGAAATCATGTATTTTTAACCATCCGGCATATCTTCAATTATCAGGGAATTTGATCAAAATGTGACAGGGAAATCAGGGAATTTCAGTTTTTTCATCTTGTGGCAACCCTGATATTCTATTATATTTTTCTCCCGGGATGAAGGTCGAAACTGTGGGCGGTAGGGCTGCGAGAGAACCGAACGGAACCGTGCGCCATTTGGCAACGGGAAACGTTGAGCCCGTATGGCTTATGCTCAATGGGGTACNGGGGGGGGGGGGGGGGGGGGGGGGGGAGTCGTAGACAGACGCTGGAGACGAAGAACGAAGACGAACCTCTGGCAAGGAGTAAAGAGTTACGATGCCCAGGCACAGGCACTCCAGACACAGCTACACCACAACAACTTCGGCCGCCGCGCCACGGCACCAGGCACATATTCCTCCACTCTTAGGGCCCCCCCCTCCCCCGCGCGCTACCCCCAGGCTCCAAACACCCTCCGAACAAGAGTAGATTCACACCGTCGCGCGTCGGATCTGATTCGTTTTCCCAGTCGTTTCCTGCGGGTCGATTATCGAAATTGATAGACAAAGCGATAGACAAAGAAGACATTGGGAGTATGGAGCTATCCCATTGGTTGAAATGGGTGGTTCCTATAGACTGAGGGAGAAAATGATGGACTAACGATCGGATCCCTCGTGGATTGCCCTTACTTAGTCTATTACCTACCTATTTTGTCCATCGCAACCATTCGCTGCCACCACTAGGACCTCTCCATATCTCGTTTTTCTTCTTTGTCTATAGCTTTGTCTATCAATTTCAACGAACGGCTCCAGTGATCTGATGCCTAGGGTTTATCCGGAATTTCTAGGGATCTGAGGATTTTTCAGACCATCTAGGGATTTTTTTTTGATGAGTTAATAGTACGCAAAAATCGACGTTTTAACTTCAATTTTAGCTTCGACCATTGACAATATTTTTTCAACTACATTTTGTAGGCCTTATTGGCAACACTATTTTCCCCCTACACAAGCCGGAACCTTTAACGATTGCGTCACTCGATGAAATTAGGTCAGGTTTGGTTTCGATTCATGATTCTTGTTGAATTATTTTTAACATTATTTCCCATTAACGAAGTCTTCGTTTGTAAAAGAGCTACTTTGACGATTTCATTTTTCTGTTTACAGGTTTACCATTGGTCATCTGAACAAAGTTTCCGAAGCGGACTGCAAATGGTTCCATGCCCAAGAATCGTGAGTATTATTTCGTTAAACCATCGTGCTCCTATGTCTACTTTTGCCATGCTTTTAGAAGGACCAATAGACATTAAGTTGTCTTATTGGTAAGCTTAAGAGCTTAAGAGCCGAGATATTTATTTCAGGAAGCCTTGAACATAGCAGTATTACAACGGGTCTTCTTTGCGAACCTCCTGTAAATTTCTGCATTTTGCAAGTTTGCATTTGCTGTCTGTCACGTGCACCTTTATCAGTTTGCGGTTCAAGCTAAGGAACTAAGAATGCTTATATAAAACAATTCGATAAAATCTGAGCCTCTTCCTTAAACAGTATAGGAAACGGAAAGCTCCTTCTATACCAAACAACGCGAAGATCAACAGAAGAATGTACGAGGTTGGGTTCAAACCCAACGGGCAACTATTTTAACTCGGCGGTAGGCCGGGTTGCATACACGATATATTGCGGGCGACTTCTGAGATCTAGCCACGGCCTGCCTACACGGGCTCGCGAAAGGGTTTAGGTGTGTCAGCGGCTTCTTCGAGTGTATGCAACCCGCACGCAAAAAAATGTCGGTGCTGATGACAGAACCTTTTGTTCACGAACTCCTGCACTTTCTTCGTTGTACTTTCAGAACTTTTTTGTTGTGAATATAGATTTTCGGTTTTGAGCAGAGCTCTCTGTTCTAAAGGAAACTTCTGTACCTGTGCCAAAGAAAGTGTAGGAGCCCCATGAAGAGAACTATTTTTTTTCAGTGCCCTATGCAACGAATACGATCCTAACTGCCTGAAGTAACCAGCGGGCTGATTGTTGGAATTGATAGACAAAGCTATAGACAAAGGAGACATAGGGAGTATGGAGCGATCCTATCGGTTGAAATGGGTGGTTATTTTAGACTAAGGGAGTTAATGATGGACTAACTATAGGGTCTATCGTAGGTTGCCGTCAGTTAGTCAATTACCTACCTCCTACGTCCATTGCAACCTCCCGTTTCCTCCAATAGGATCTCCCCATATCCCTTTTATCTATAGCTTTGTCTATCGATTTCAACAATGAGTCCGGAGACTGGACAAGCTCTCTCCCACAAACGGGAGCTCGGGAGCATGGAAACAGGAGCGGTACACCTAACTTTCCCAGCAGTGGCGCGGCGTGAATTGCGATATTTCGATTGTTATATGATTTAAACCTATGGTAAAGAATCGATTATTAAGGTGTTCGCTGCGAACACCCTAGTTATCGATCCTTTTCCATAGGTTTAAATGGCACAAAAATCGATATATCGCAAAGCACGCCACGCCGCTGTTTCCCAGGGGCGAAAAGATTATAGGTGTCGGGAGCAAATCAGAGAAAAAGCAAGGGGATTGGCCGTGAGGTTAGGGACTCGGATAATTCGAGGTGACATCCGCTGTAAATGCTGCCGTGAGTTTCCCGGACGATCGGACGTCCTTCGCCCCGCAGTTTCCCGACTGAGTTTTCCGAGTCCGATGCACTTAACCAAAGTGAAGTCGCCGCCATTTTTCATTTATCAACGTCCTTCAAATCCAGTTTCATATCGTCCCACTTCTCCGCGGTGTCAGCTTGCTCAGTAATTTTTAATTCTTGAATCGTTCAGAAGTTGAGAGTGCACTTAAATCGCACAGTTTTCCTCGGAATTATTTTTTCTGACAGAATTTGGATCGCGTTTGGCAGGAAGGAACCCCACTCGCTTTTGCCGTTTGCCGCATTTCTGTATGAAAACGGTTGTGCGGATTTTTTTTAACATTTCGGCGAATTTTCTGTACATTGCGGATCGAATTCGCGCATTTTTCAAAGGAATCTGCACAAACGTTCTCTCGTAAAAAATTAAAATGCCCAGTTCAATTTGGCCTGTACACATCAGAGTGATTCCAGAGTGTCTACAAGTCCGGAAAGAGTACTGATTTTTTAAGGGCGTTCCGGAAGCACTGAAAAAGTGCGGAAATTCCGAGAAAAGGTCCGGAATTTTTTTAAAATTTTTTGTCATTTTCGTTGCAAATTCAAATTTTTAAAAAATTTTTAATTTCGTCAAATGGAGGTACTGAAAAAGTACGGGATTTTTCTGTCGGAGGAGGTACTGAATTTCTCGAGAATGCACTGAAAAAGTACTGTAAAATTACTTAAATGGAGGTGTTGAAAAAGTACAGAATTTTTCTGTCGGAGGAGGTACTGAATTTCTCGAGAATGCACTGAAAAAGTTCTGTAATAGTACTTATATTTGACCAGCCTTGTTTTCGAGACACCCTGGATTCGAAGGATCTCGTTCGACTTTTTATCCGACGATTCGAAGGTGGATCGGGCGCTCGGCGGGGGTGTTAAGAGGATCCGAAAGTAAAATCGCGGAGGGCGGCGGGGCGGNGGGGGGGGGGGGTGACGAACTCTATTCCCATTGATAAAGGATTCGCAAGGGGCGCTGCCCTGCTCCGGCTCGTCGGGCCGGGGCCGGTTCGCTACCCCTGTAAGGTTTCGGCGGTGGCCTCGCCTCGACGGTGGCGGCGTGACGTCATTTCCGGCGTCGGAGTTTGCGCCTCGCCCCGGCGCGCGGCGTCGCGTCGCACGCCCATAAATCGATCAAACTTCCCTCCGCGGACCCCCCGCCCCGGGGACGAGGGGGGAGGGGGCCGTCAATGGAGTGAAAAGCGGGGCACCCGGGGCTTTTCCGCCGTCGCCGAGCGCCCCCGGCGGCCAGCGATTGACCGCTTTCCCACCGCGCGGCACCCAATCGGGCGAGGATTTGAATGGGTCAATCCCCGTGACGTCATACCGGGGGGTTTTGCGGTCGACAATGACGTCATTGGAAATGTCGTCGACGGACGGGGACAACGCATATCGGAGACTCCGCACTAACGATCCGTCGCACAGTGGATCGAGTCAAAGGAGAGGTCGGACAAAATTTGGAAACTTCAAACGCTTGTAACTCCGTTGATACGAAATTTTGAGGTTCTGAAAATGGTTCCATTGGTTTCCTTGTGACATTTTCTTCCAAAAGCACCTCTTGAAAGTTATAATGTGACGAAGTAAACACGAAAATTCTCGGGTTCAGTCAAAAAATTCAAGTCTGACCTCTCTAAATTGACTCGATCCACTGCGCGTTGCCCCCTCCCCCTCCCCCTATGGAAGAACGGAACTATATTTGGATCGCATTCAACGAAGTGGAACTAGCGCGATCGCAGTGTTGTATAAATGGACTACATTTTGCAATTTGGAACTTTAAATTCTAGCCTGGTTCAAAAGCAACGTACGTGCCATTAGTTTCCCTATGCACATGAGTGTTTTTCCAGAAGAGCCAGAATTTATAGTTCCAAATTGCAAAATGGAGTCCAAATGTTGCTTCTGCATAATCATCTACAAGATGTCCCAGAACAGCGAATTGTTTTAGCTCTCCACCGAATAATTAGCAATTTTGAAGGAATATGATTGTGTGAACTTTAATACTGTACGTATATTGAGTGTTTTTAAAAGGAAAGGAGAAGTTGCAGAATGTTGGAAACACTGTAATCGCGCTGGTTCCTTTTTCCTGAACACGATGCACTTCATTGTTGTCAAATTTTCCCTCGCAAAATGCAATTTTGCCTGGAGAATCTTGGACATTTCTAACCGAAAATTTTACTGATTATTCGTCAGAGATCGTGCCAAAATCAGACAAACTCTGGACAAACATTCTGCAAGTACAGTAGACTCAGGATTATCCGGATTAATTGGTGCCGGGCCCGATCCGGATGAAAAAGAAATCCGGATAATAATAGTAAACACAAACACCACCAACCAACACCACAGTATTCTTATTATGTATACATCGTGTACATACCAACACGAATTTAAAAGATTCACGCCAAACTGAACGACTCAATGGTGATTGTGAAGGGTAGCCGACAACGATAAATTACAATACAACGATTAAAGCGCGCAATGAGTGAAGTATTCATGCAGTCTTGTAGCCGCTAATGTGCGTTTTAGGCTAACTAACCGACTGCACTGCGTTTGGCGTAATGCGAGAAGTATTTATGCAATTTGGTAGGCGCTAATGCGTTCCACGCCGACCTCACTATTTGGCGCAATGCGTGAAGTATTCCTTCAGCCTTGCAGGCGCCAATATGCCTTGTGACCGCTTCTCCGCGGATCCGCTTACTTATCGGAATGCGTACGTAGTTACATGGTTGCAAAATCGATCCCGATAATCCAGAGTCCGGATAGTACGAAGCCGGATAATCCAGAGTCTACTGTACTTTTTTGTATAATATTGAGTTGTTTTAGTGAATTCTGCAACTCTGGCATGAAGTTACGTTTCTTCGTCCGGAAAACGAAGAATCGTAGCTTATCGGTGAGGTTTTAGAAGAGCTCGGTGTGGTTTCTACAAGAGTTCGGAGGAGTAAGGAATGTAATTTCATTCCCAAGTTTCCAAATCGACGCAAACAATAATTCAATTTTTACTGGAATATTCGAGTGCAAATTTGTCCAAAATTTTGCTAATTTTTGTGTGTGATCCACAAATTTATCCGAGAAATTTTCAGTCAGAATTCCCCAAGATTCTTCCGGTTCAAATGCAATTTGTTAAGGGAAATTTGGCAACATTGAAGTGATGTTACGTTCTTTTGTAAATGGGAACGGCGTAATGACCAAGCTGGCCAAGATTTCCCCTAAATTTTTTTAAAGCTCCGAAAACCGATCGTGGTCGATGAGCAACTACGTCCTTTTTTACGAATAATCGCTCACCTGTTCTCGGATTCGAACCCAAGCTTTGATGGCCGAAGTAATGTCTTCCATAACCATCAATCAAAAAAATTAATCGCAAATGAGGATAAATGATGACCCGGCTCCGTGTAAACAGCGGATTCTGATAGCTCACCCCGCGCGCCCTATAATCGCAATGCCGTAACCTATTTAATCGCGTCGATTTTTCCCCCTTTTTTGCTCACCGCACTTGTTTTTCTTGTCTTCGTTTAGATTATTATTAACTCTCACGTTTTGTTTTTTCGCGCATCGTAACTTTGTCCGTGCACATCAGCGGCC